GTGGCACTGAAGAGTTTCGGTGAAATGATATCACCCTGCCGCACCCCTCTCTTGACATCAACGATCACTTCTTTGTAGAATGGTGAGATCCTGGTAGTGAATCCGCAATTCAGCTCATGGAGGATCCTGATGTATTGGGCTTGAATGCCCTGATTGGCTAGGGCTTCAATGACCGCTTCCGTCTCAACAGAATCAAAGGCCTTCTTTAAATCAATGAACGTTAAGCAGAGCGTCATCTTGAACTCCCGAGAAACCTCAATGAGCTTGGTTATTGTGTGGATATGGTCGATGGTGCTGAATCCTTTGCGGAACCCTGCTTGCTCGCATGGTTGTCCTTCATCTAATGTTCTGCCAATCCTATTCAGGATGACTCGAGTGAACAACTTGTAGATGACAGACAATAGGCAGATCGGGCGATAGTTGCCAATGTCATGGATGTCTCCCTTCTTGAACAGTAGTACAGTCCTGCTGGTTTTCCATTGGGACGGAACCTTGCATTCAGACAGGTAGCGAGTGAAGAGCCGAGCCAGTGTATTGATGAGTACTGACGGCAGGTTCTTCAGGTGTTCAGGTCTGACCTTGTTTGGGCCGGGTGCTGTTTGTTTCTTTACCGACGAAATGGCGTGTCGGATTTCGGAGGGGAGAACGTTGGGAACAACATACCCATCCTGTGGAATTTGGTATGTTGGCAAGTGGACATGGCTATCGAAGAGATTTGAGTAGAAGTCATGGATAATCTTCTCCATTGCCGTTCTGGAGGATGTGACGGATCCATCAGGACGTCGGAGGGCAGTCATCTTGGTCTTATAGTTGGCGAAGGACAGGCGGGCCTTACGAATACGTTTCCCGGCTTCTGCCGCATCTACCAGTACTTCAGCTCTTCTCTCTTTGAGGTCTTCCTTGATCGCATCTCTGGACTGCTTTGCGAGCTCGGACGTTAGCTTGCGGTTGCCTGAGGCATGCACCAAACCACGCTGGCGAATTAGCTCAAGAGTTTTCGAAGATAGGCGACTTTTTGTGGCTATCTCTCTCTTGGCGTTCCTCGCACATTCATGGAGGTGCTGAACCAGTCGATCGTATTCCTCATCAATGTTGTCAACAATGGCATCTTCCCATGTTGCCGCAATAGTACCAAAGAGTTCCCAGTTGGTGGTCATTCTGGGAGTTCTCTTTTTGAACTTTGCAGCCCTTTCTCCCCGCTCTGTGAAGTAGAATTTTGCACGAAGGAGACGGTGGTCTGATCCCGTTCGAAATTTTGGGACAACAGCGACATCAGTCAGGCAAAACCATCGATTGAATATGATGTGGTCTATTTCGTTGTGGAATCGTCCACTGGGAGACTCCCATGTCCATCGTTTAGATTCTGCCTTCTGGAACTGTGAGTTACCATGAATGGTCTTGGTCGACATGATGAACTCAGACAGTCTCTCACCCTGTTCCTTCCATTCTAGGCCATGGGTCCCGATGTGAAGTTCTTCAGCTGATCTTCTCGGTCCTATCTTGGCATTAAAATCACCCACAATGATCTTGTAGAAGGTGTGGTCTTCTTTATAGACCTTCTCTAGCTCTATGTAGAACTTCTCGATTTCTCTTTCATCATAATGAGATGTTGGTGTGTAGACAACGAAGATAGAAACTGCAGGCAGTGAGCCACATCTATTCAAATGTAAACGTCCGATTGGGGTTGTTAGGCATTCGAATGAATCAATGCTCTTGGCCAAGTTTGTGTTGACAAGGACACCAACGCCTCCAACACCTCTTTTATCGCATGTTCCGAGGAACAATTCTTCTCCAGTGTCGAAAACGGCATGGTGAGATTCGTGCCTTCTTGTCTCGGTCAGACCAATGATGTCGTACTTGATCATTCGCGCTTGTACCATCAGGTCCTCGATGGATGCATCTGATGCTAGCGTACGTGCATTGAAAGTACAGACGATCATTTTTGTCTTCCTTCGTCGTGGCAGCCTAGGTCGGCCTTGAGATTTTGTCGGCCTCTCCTTTCTCATCCTTCTCATTGCTGCCATGTCGGTGAAGCCTTCAGGGTCAGTTGAATGAGACCAGTTGTGGTTACTGGTTTTGGCATATCGAATACACAACGGATAGCTTGCCAGGCTCTTCCGTGCGTGCGGAATACTCTCGGTAGCTTGCCAGTCTTTCTGAGAGGGATAGAGCCTTTTATTTATTTCACATAATTTTATAACATGCAATTTGACTGATATGTTTGAAATATGGTACCTAAGCATTGATATACGCGCTTGTAGTACACAACGTTTCTTTAACAGCATCTTACTGGTTTTCTGTGTTAAAAACAACACAGTGTGGATGTCATAATCTACATATCTTATTTTTTTCCTCTTGTTGAGCTCTCTCTTTAATAATACATATAGTTCTGATCTTCTTAGGTTAACGGCTGGTCAATGTCTATTTCAGGAATATCACAAGTTACCATTGTTAATTTGTGCTGGGTTCAGGTTTCTGCCCTTCAGAATGATACTGAGGTATGATTCTTGGATAGGTCCTCTGATGGTTTCTGTATACGTGTCTGGAGTTTTTGTATAGCAAACAATCCTGACAGTTCATTAGTTTTGGGGCTACGTCCTATGGTGTTCAGCAGCTTCTTTTTCTGTGATCAGTTGTCATTTTCAGTCGTGCAGAGGGGACCATGTGATGCTGGGGTTTGAGCCCAGGCCTCCTGCATGCGAAGTTTGACTTTATCCTTTTGAGCTGTCTTCCCCAGCCCTTAAGTTTATCTCATTTAATTCTTAAAAGTGTTTATCAAGGTGGGTGTTATTCCCATATTACACATGAGAATACAAAGGTGTTGAAATGCTGTATAACGTAGCTAAAATAATCTAGATCAAATTTTGCCCATTTAATCTGGCCCTGTCCCTCAGCATTCCATGTAATTCTTCAATTTAAACCCTACGATCATTAGAACAATTATAGCCAGTAAATTAGTCTGCATCGTTTCAAGGCAGAGAATCAAGGCAAACAATCAGCTACAGGGACATTTAGGAAAGAAGTAGCAATTGGTGGCCAATATCTCATTTGTCAGAGTTATCAAGAATTCACCATTTTATGCTCTTTGGCATATGAATCTGAGTATTGCTTATGCTTAAAACAGTAGGCAGAGCTACTGTTTCTGTGATCGCTTAAACTGCATACATTAAATGCAACATTCAGGCTACTTTAAAGCCAGTGTTCTGGTTAGTATATCAGAGTCTTGTGTGGGTAACAGTTGAAACAGTACAGACCATTTTCTTCTGGCAGAGAATATCACTTCTGATTCTTTGTTTTTTTTTATTTTATTGGTGAAACACCATGAGGTACAGTTGTAGATCCACAAATTTTTGTGCTTGGGTCTCGACTATACAATGATCGAACACCCATCCCTCCACCAGTGCCCATTTCCACCACCATGGGCAATATCCCTCCCATCCCCATCCCCCCCATCCCACCCTGCCTCTGTGGCAGGGCATTCCCTTTTGTTCTCTCTGTTCTTTTGGGTATTGTGGTCTGCAAAAGAGGCATTGAGTGACAAACATGTTCAGTCCATAGTCTACTTTCAACATGCCTCTCCCCTCCTGGGAGGATCCTCCAGACACCCTTTATTTGGTGCTCCCCTCTCTATCCGAGCTGTCCTTTCCCATAGAACACCCGGCTGGCCTCTAAGCTATCGAGTAATCCTCCTGGTGCTGATCTCAGCTATTCTTGGGTATTAATCTCATACTTTGTTACTTTATATCCCCCAGATGAATGCAATCTTTCTATGTCTATCCCTCTCTTTCTGACTCATTTTGCTTAGCATGATACTTTCCATGTTGTACCACTTGTATGTAAATTTCATGACTTCATCTTTTCTAACAGCTACATAGTACTCCATTGTGTAGATGTACCAGAGTTTCATTAACCAGTCATCTGTTCTTGGGCACTCAGGTTTCTTCCAGTTTCTGGCTATTGTAAAGAGTGCTGCAATGAACAAACAAGTGCAGATGTCACTTCGACTATACATTTTTGCCTCTCTGGGATATATTCCCAGGAGTGCTATTGCTGAGTCAAATGGGAGCTCAATTTCTAATTTTTTGAGAATTGTCCATACTGTTTTCCAAAAGGGCTGAACCAGTCGGCATTCCCACCAACAGTGTAGAAGTGTTCCTTTCTCGCCACATCCGCGCCAGCATCGGTTGCTTTTGTTCTTTTGAATGTGGGCCAGTCTCTGAGGTGTGAGATGGTATCTCATTGTGGTTTTGATCTGCATCTCCCTGATGATTAATGATGTAGAGCATTTTCTCATGTGCTTTTTTTGCCATTTGGATTTCTTCTTTGAGAAAGTCTCTGTTCATTTCATTGCCCCATTTTTGGATGGGGTTGAATGTTTTCTTCTTGTGGAGTTTAACCAGTACTTTGTATATCCTTGATATCAACCTCTTGTCAGATGTGTATTCGGCAAATATACTTTCCCATTCTGTAGACTGTCTTTGTATTTTGGTCACTGTTTCTTTGGAGGTGCAGAAGCTTCTTAGTTTAAGATAGTCCCATTTATCTATCTCTGTTTTCACTTGCTCGGCCAGTGGCGTGGCATCTTTGAAAATACCATTAGCCTCAATGTCATGGAGGGTTTTGCCAACTTTGTCTTCAATGTACCTTATGGATTCTGGTCTGATGTTGAGGTCTTTAATCCATTTTGATCTTACTTTTGTACACGGTGTTAGGCAGAGTTCTGAATCCATTTTTTTTCATGCAGCCGTCCAGTGATGCCAGCACAATTTGTTAAAGAGGCTTTCCTTACTCCACTTCACATTTCTTGCACCTTTATCAAAGATTAGATGATCGTATGATTGAGGGGAGATGTCAGTGTATTCAACCCTGTTCCATTGGTCTGCAGTTCTGCCTTTGTTCCAGTACCGTCACTTCTGATTCTTAATGCCACTTTACTGATGTTTGTACTATGTGTTTCTTTAGACTTCATTTTGACTTGTGCTCTTTATTCACCCTGCTAGGTCGGAAACCCGGTGTATTGGTTGTGCGGATTCTGGAGCTGCATGAGGAAGGCGGCATGCACGTTGCCATGTGCGAGCAGGTGGCCGGGCCACAGGAGCACAGCCCTGCCCACGGCGGCCCCTCCAGGGCTGGCCTGAAGGTCCTGTTCACCAGGGAGACTGCAGGCCAGCTTCGAGGTCGCCCCCAGGATGTCGTTCACATTTTCCCACCCTGGTGAGTATGAGGAGCTGCTTCCAGGAGGGGCAGATGGAGTTTCTTTCCAGAGACGTTTTTATCAAAACATTTTTGTCACTTTATTACAGAGAAATGCCAGGGGAAGCAGGCCAGGATATGAGATAGAGTCGATGTAACAAGAGCCCTGAACTCTCATTGCTAGCTTGTTTGTCTTTTCTGGCAGTACATTTGATAATTTGGGTCAGGAGGGCAAGGGAGAAAACTATTATTAACATTCCTGTCTAAGTGGTATGATTTTTATAGGTCTGTGTGTTTGTTCTTATCCGTCGCAGAAATTTCACTAATTAATTTTGGTTTTGAGGTCACATCCAGTGGTGCTCAGGGGTCACACCGGACTTTGCTCGGGGAACTGGAACGTGGTGCTGCGATTTGAACCCAGTGTCACAGTTGTCACCAGAACAAGCCCTCTCACCTTTGAATTATCTCTCTGGCCCCATGCACTTAATTTTACTAAGAAACATTATTTAGTAACAGGATAGTACACATTAGTACCTCTTTTTAAAATTAGGGGAATTAAAACCAAATTGAGATGTAATGGGTTTTGATTTCCAGGAATATAAATGATTATTAATGGATCTGAAATAGTTTTTAAAGGTACAGTTTGCTGTGTTTTTTATGTGATATTAATTTCTACCACAGAAGGAAGGATATTGTTACTTTTTTGTGAAGGTGTAGTGTGAGGGCCTCCCAGGTCCAGGGGGCCCCAGAGCCACTCGGTGATGTTCTGCCCAGGGCCGCAGTCCAGTGCTAGAGGCTGAGGGTGCAGCCCCGGGTACGGTGGCATCTGGGACAGCCAGGGCACCTGTGGGTGGTGCTGGAATGAGATTTTTGTGATGCGTAAGAACAGAAGGACAGCTCTGTAACAGGCCTTCCAGGCTAGACTGTGAGCTTCTTAGGAGGCCATGTCCCAGGCCCCTGACCCTGGGCGAATTCTCCAGCCCCCATCCTGTCATTTTTCTCGTGTAGTTAATTTTTTTTCCATCTTAACCTGTGTTCTCTTCTTGTGGGCACATTCTTCCTGGCAACAAATTGCTGCGAGAAGATGCTGATTCCCCCGACCCAGTTGTCCCTGATTCTTTTCTTTGCCCCCTTTTATTTAGCTTTGGGCCATCTGTCCTACTCAGACCTCTGTCAGCAGTGGCTGTCACCCTCCCACTGCTCTCAGCATGGCTGCGGCCTGGGCAGCTTCCCCGGACTGAGGAAGCAACGCGGCCCCATGGGGATGCTGACAGTAAGGCAGAATCAAGCTCCAGGCCTTTCCTCCTCTTCCTGCACTATTTCTTGTCTCTGGGAATGGAAGTAACGTTCCTGTGTTTCTCCTCGTATCTTCAACTCCTCATTTGCTCATGATCTCACTTCTCCCAGGAAGAGTCTGCTGGAGCTCTGTGCCCCTGCCTGGGACTTCTTGTCACCTCTCTCTCTGACTCCTTCCAGGCACTCCTGCCTGACTATAGTCTTTACTCCTGTCTCCCTGCTCCTTCCCTTCTCCTTCTCTCCCAGAAGGTCAGTGGCTCCTGCTTCTTGTTAGTACAAGCATCGTTTCTATATTTCAGAGAAGCTTGGTGTCATTGATCATTTTTTTGATGAGCAGCTATGCAAGTGACTCCTTGTCAGAGACACAAGCAAGTTTGATAGAGCTTTTAGTAATATTTAGAATATTTCAGTGAAAATAAAAACTTTGGCTCAATATTAGATATTATTGAATGCATAGAGTGTTTCAATCTTTGCAGCTTCCCAGTTGTAGATTCTTATTGTAAAAATAAAAATTGGACAGACCAATAAAGAAGGTTTTATTGTTAAAAAATCTTTTTGCTTGGTGCCAGAGAGATAAAACCCTGGGTAGGGGGTGTCCTTTGCATGCAGCAGACCTGTGTTCGGTCCCTGACACCTTGTTTCTCTTTATTTGGGGGGGGGGTCACACCTGGTGATGCACAGGGGTTACTCCTGGCTCTTCACTCAGGAATCACTCTTGGCAGTGCTCAGGGGACAATATGGGATGCTGGGAATCGAACCCGGGTCGGCCGCGTGCAAGGCAAACGCCCTACGTGCTGTGCTTTCGCTCCAGCCCCGACACCTTGTGTCTCTTGAGTCATATCAGGAGTGATTCTTGCGTGGAGTCAGGAGTGACCCCTGTGCATCACCAGGTGTGACCCCCCCAAAGAAAAGAGAAACAAGGTGTCAGGGACCGAACAGAGGTTTGCTGCTTGCAAGGAACACCCCCTACCTAGGGTTTTATCTCTCTGGCACCAAAGCAAAAAGACTTTGATCCCTGAGTGCAGTCAGGTGTGTCTCCAAAACCAAGACCAAAACAGACAAAAACAAAAGTTGATTTGCTTTCTGTCCTTTGGTGGGTGTTGGTGAGCACCGTCCCTAAGTTCCTGCCACAGGTGCTGGCCTGTGTGTTAGAGAGAGAAAGGAAGGAGTCGTTGCTTTGCTTTCCCTTCTGACGGCACTCCACTTAGCACATGGATTCTTTCAGACACAGAAACACATTGAGACCCATTAGGTTAAACGGAATACACTAGCAAAAATTCCTTATTTAGTAATGTGAGATATACTTATTCTTGCTTGAAAGATCTTTGAAATAGTTGAGTTCTCTGACCTCAGATAGTATCATTGGCACACACGCTGTTTTATACATGTTCCAGTATTATTTTAAAAGTAGGATCTCTAGTTTTTTTTTTTTATCATTTTCTACATGATGATAATCTATACAATAAAGGCGAAAGTCAGAGTAGAGATGATCTGTGGCTTGACTTGTCTCGAATGAGAGTGTCTTATCGTGGCCATTGAGGCTTCATGATGGATTTTCTCCTCTTTACTCTTCCAACTTCTTTTTTTGCTGCTCGAGGCCCCCTCCCGTTGTTCATCGATTTGCTCGAGCGGGCCCAGTAATGTCTCCATTGGAGACTTTGTTGTTACTGTGTCTGGCATATCGAATACGCCACAGGGAGCTTGCCAGGCTCTGCCAGGCTCTGCCGTGCGGGCGAGATACTCTCGGTAGCTTGCCGGGCTCCCCGAGAGGGGCGGAGTAATTGAACTCGGGTCAGCCATGTTGGCTGCGTGCAAGGCAAACGCCCTACCGCTGTGCTATCGCTCCAGCCCGATATTTTAAAAAAAATATTTTTTAAATTGAATCACAGTGAGATATACGTTACAAAATTGTTCATGATTGGGTTTCAGTCATATATTGCTCCAAAACCTGTCCCTTCACCTGTGTGCATTTCTTCTAATGTCTACCCCCCCTCCCCGCTTCTATGGCAGGCATTTCTCTCTTCCTCCCACCCTCTGCCTCTCCCACTCCCTCCCTCTCTTTCCCTCCTTCCTACCCTCTCCTTCCCTCCCTCTCTTTCCATCCTTCCTAACTCCTCCCTTCCTCCCTCTCTCTCCCCCCTCTCTCTCTCTCCCTCTCTCTCCTTCCCTCACTCCTTTCCTCTCTTACATTCCCCTTCTTCCTCCCTCCATTCCCTTCCTCCCCCCTCACCTTACTGGTTTACAGTACAGATACTCGCTGATCACCTGATCACTTGACTTCCCATTAATCATCGATTTGCTCGAGCGGGCGCCAGTAACGTCTCCATTTGTCCCTGTTGCTTGCTAGTGTAGCCCAGTGGCGTCTGTTCGTTCTTGGAACACGAAGAGCCTCCAACCGATGTTTCAGGGTCTTGACGAAGACGTCTGACCATCTGGTAGGTGGGAGGCCACGCAGTCTTTTTACATCCCATGGAATCCAGTCAGTAATGGCTCTAGTCCAGCGGTCATCTCCAAATCTCATTATGTGTCCAGCCCATCTGATTTTCAACTCCTTGGCAAAAGAGACAGCGTCCCTGATTCTTGACCATTGACGGAGGTTGGAACTCTGGATTGTTTCTTTCGAGTGAAACGTGATACTCCAAGCATAGCTCTTTCGATTCCTCTTTGGGAGACCGAATAGCGTTCTCATCCTGTTTGCCTAGGGTCCAGCTCTCTGAGGCGTATGTTAATGAAGGAAGAACAGTGGAATCGAAGAGATGTGCCCGGAGCCGGAGGTTCTTCTGGGAGTTCTCTTCTTAAACTTTGTATTCCTTTCTCCATGCTTTGTAAAGTAGAATTTTGCACAAAGGAGACGGTGGTCCGATCCCGTTTGGAATTTTGGGACAACATTGACGTTGGTCAGGCAAAACCATTGATTGAATATGATGTGGTCAATTTTGTTGTGGAATTTTCCACCAGGATACTTCAATGTCCAACGTGTAGATTCGACCTCTGGAACTATGAATTACCATGAATGGTCTTGGTCGACAGGAGGAACTCAGACAGTCTCTCACTCTGTTTATTCCATTCAAGGCTATGGGTTTCGATGTGGAGTTCTTTGGGCAACCTTCTCGTTCCTATCTTGGGATTAAAATCACTGACAATGATCTTGTAGAAGGTGTGGTCTTTATAGAACTTTTCCAGCTCCATGTAGAACTTCTCAATTTCTTCTTCATCGTAGTTGGATGTTGGTGCATAGACAACGAAGATAGAAACTTCTGGCAGTGAGCCACATCTATTCAAGCGTAATCATCCGATTCTGATTGTTAGGCATTCGAATGAATGGCTAAGTTCGTGTTGACAAGGACACTGACACCACCGACACCACTTTTGTCCCATGTTCTGAGGAATAGTTCTTCTCCAGTGTCGAAAATGGTGTGATGTGATCGATGCCTTCTTTTCTCGGTCAGACCAATGATGTGGTACTTGATCTTCTGCACTTGCACCATCAGGTCCTCGATGGATGCATCTGATGCCAGCATACGTGCATTGAATGTACAGACAGCCATTTCAGTCCTTCATTTTGGCAGCCTAGTTCGGCCCTGAGATTTTATCAGCCTCTCCTTGCTCATCCTTCTTAACGCTGCCGTATTGGGGGCTCTTTCAGAGTCAGGGGAATGGGGCCCATTGTTTTTACTGTTTCTGGCATATTGAATACGCTGCTGGTAGCTTGCCAGGCTCTACCA